CACATGGCTGCTGACGGGACTGTCCTTCACATGGCTGCTGACGGGACTGTCCCTTCACATGGCTGCTGACGGGACTGTCCCTTCACATGGCTGCTGACGGGACTGTCCCTTCACATGGCTGCTGACGGGACTGTCCCTTCACATGGCTGCTGACGGGACTGTCCCTTCACATGGCTGCTGACGGGACTGTCCCTTCACATGGCTGCTGACGGGACTGTCCCTTCACATGGCTGCTGACGGGACTGTCCCTTCACATGGCTGCTGACGGGACTGTCCCTTCACATGGCTGCTGACGGGACTGTCCCTTCACATGGCTGCTGACGGGACTGTCCCTTCACATGGCTGCTGACGGGACTGTCCCTTCACATGGCTGCTGACGGGACTGTCCCTTCACATGGCTGCTGACGGGACTGTCCCTTCACATGGCTGCTGACGGGACTGTCCCTTCACATGGCTGCTGACGGGACTGTCCCTTCACATGGCTGCTGACGGGACTGTCCCTTCACATGGCTGCTGACGGGACTGTCCCTTCACATGGCTGCTGACGGGACTGTCCCTTCACATGGCTGCTGACGGGACTGTCCCTTCACATGGCTGCTGACGGGACTGTCCCTTCACATGGCTGCTGACGGGACTGTCCCTTCACATGGCTGCTGACGGGACTGTCCCTTCACATGGCTGCTGACGGGACTGTCCCTTCACATGGCTGCTGACGGGACTGTCCCTTCACATGGCTGCTAATGGAAAGGTTTAGCGGTTAGCTTGTCTGTCTTATGCAAGCGTTATCGTCGTTGTTAATGTTGTGTGTCCAGAGTTATTCAAGTAATTTTTCCCTATTCTTTCACAAATTTATCAACTTGAATATTATCAATATGCAATCTTAGTGAAGTTCTATGTTGGCAAGACTGACATATCTATCTTTAGAGTTATTGTGCATCTTCATTTGACTACATAGGCTGTACTTGTTGTGTCAATAATGTCACCTAATAAGCTATACTTTGATACAACCTCCCAATTATAATACAGCCATTGTTTTCCCAGCCTTGTTACTTTCATATTTTGTGGCTCCTTCGGTGCTCTCAATATAAATCTGGAAAACCTGCCTCAATTTTGCTTGCTTTTGCTTGGTGGCGGCAACGTTGATTGGTTGATAAATATCTCGCACTGTTAATCAAAGTATGCTATTGACCTAAACAATGGCTGACAGTTATAACATATTCAACTGATAGTTGGAACAGAGATGAAAGTGTGACCATTTTAATTGTTATGTTGGAATGAATTTACATGGTTAATGAGCAAATTTTAAGTAATATTTTCATTTTAGTGTGGAGAGTGACTGAAGGCACCATGAAATAATAGGAAGGTTTTACGCTATTGTTCTGGAAGATCTGATAGTTTTTCTATGTTTGATTACTTCAATTTTATGTATATTTCCTATTTTCCAAATCAAAATCTAATCCTGCAGAGAAATCATGGTTCATGGTTTTCATGGAATCTGGTTCCAGTACCCCAATAATTATTTTTTCTAGTTATTTATTTTGTGGAACCTTTCACTTGAAATAGCAAGTCCAGTCTTTAATGACACAGAAAACTCTATGATACATGCATGCTCACCATCAACCAGTCAATCTTTTAAGGTGATCAAACAAAATTTCTTTCAAAAAGATGTTTGGTGCACATTCTGACGATGTTAATATGTTCAAATGTGTTCTGTCCTTGCTACTTGAAAATGTTAACTCATTGTTTTCTTCTTTTCTCTGCAGTGTTTTTTGGGATTTATATTGTGCAGCTCCAGAAAGGCGAGATACATGTGAACATTCTAGCGAGGCGAAAGCTTTTCATGATTATGTAAGTAGAGATTACAATGTAAGTAGTCTTCTCTGTCTCTCTCCTCTTTTGCTTGTTTTATTTTTATTTTGGGAAGTTTTTCTTTCTGAGGTTCCTGGGCCCAAACTCCTGATATAAAGAAATGTGTATGCTTATGAATGGATATAAAATGTGAAATTGACAACATAAACATTAAAATTGCTAAAGTGAGAATTTCCTTATACGTAATAATATATCTGTTGGTAAAGAAAGTAATTTTTCTGTTGGAGTATACAGTAATTGATTGCGAGTTGTTCACTTCATAATTTACATGGTTTTATCAGATTGCTGTAGTTTTATTACCATATGCTGCATGACAGGTGACATTTCTATCAAGAAGCTTGGCCATTGTCTTCATTTAACTTTTTAATTCATGTCTAAGTTGTATACATAGTGGAATAATATCTCCACCAATAGAAAACTGCAGCGTTTCCTTGTACTGGAATGTCCAATGAATCATTGCGATTGGTGATATAATATTGTTTATTTTTTATTTGTTGATACCCATAATGCACTTGGTTCAAAGGTGGTTTTCTTTTATGCAGTTCATAATTATGTAGGAATATTTACTTGTGGGGTTTTCTGACCACTCAATATACAAATGATGTGCCTATTGTACAGTGTTCAGTTAAATTTGTTTATTTCGGGTTGGCACTCCTGTTTCAATAAATCTTTGGACCTGTCATGCAAGGATCATTTTTAGACCCACACACTTTTGTGAGGCATACACAAAATATTTTTTTTCACTCCTGGGCCCCAATTTGTCAATAATAAAACACCTCCTTAAGGGGCCTTGTTACAGTGAAGTCACTTGAATAGCATGACCTGCTTTACTGTGGTTCAGCATATTGAGCCCCCCTAGCATTTGAAAACTTTTTTCTTCCAGTGAAATACGCACAGATGTCTGCAAGACAGTATTGAAATGACTCTTAATAGAACAGAGCTGATTTAAACTGAGTATTTCAATTTTCAAAATTTTACTAAGGTCATAAAACATTTATAAGTGTCATCTTTAAATATAATGCACAGAATCTTAAATTTTGAAAATATTAACAAAAATAAAGGTCAAAATTCAGAAGGGCTTTTTTAAATGAATTTATCTTATTTCCTGTGGATACTCTACCAAACAATATAATTATATCTGAAATTAACCAATTTAAACAGGAAATTTACCATGTTTTATAATATGTTTGACATGGAATTACACCGTATCTACTCATTCACCAAAAATAATATTGCATTTTTGCTGCTTGTGTTGAATATTTTATAATTTGAACAAAAGTCACTGAATCTATTGCCTACTTAAAATCGAGGACATTTTCACATTTATAAATTCCTCTTTCCAGACTTTGTGGCAATTTGTGTCTTACGAAATGAAAACCATTTATTATACACAATACCGGGGTCATTTATAACCAATAATTTACAGATTTTTGGTGATTGTGCTATATGCACATCTTTTTTTTTAAGCAGCAATGAACATTAAGACAAATAGTGACAAAGGTGACACTGAAGGTTTTCAAGGATACACAAAAAGACAATAGAATGTATAATTACTAGTCTGTCTGGTGTACGCATCCATGTCTTGTATCAAACATTTTTTTTTTAGTTTGAGATAGATCTGCTGGCTCATTTTGTTTCATATTTATATTTGGTTACCATAGTTTCAGGTAGGTACTGTAAAGTAAATTCCACAAAATTGAAGATTTAATTGTTTTGTACTCTTTTTAAGTGAACATGTGATTGAGTCACAAATAGTGTGTGTTAAAACATGACCTTTTATTTTAGTATTGTAAAAACACTTACTCGCTTGCCCTTTGATGGCAAATACTACAAGGTCATTGCTAATAATGTAGGAAGCCCACAATCTGATTAAAATAGGATCCTAGTTTTGGCTTTTCTATGTATTTGATCTAGTATTTATTTTTTGAATTTTTGGTAACTGCGAAAGACAACAAGGATCTGATCCAATGCCTATGTAAATCCCGTTCAAATCTTGCGTTAGTAAGGGCCAATCACAGCCCCCCTTATATAAAGGCGGTTGCTTACAACTTTTAGTGTAGCAATACTCTATGGGCAATCTTTCTATACATTATATTTTTAGCTCCGCTGTCGACTTTGTCGAGCGGAGCTTATCTTATGAGTGATTGTCCGTCGTCGTCCGTGTCAATGTTTTATTTTTTCGACTTCTTCTTGAAAACTACAAGCCTGAATGCTTTGATACTTGGTGTATATGTACCTTGGGTAGACCTCTCTTAGGTTTGTTCATTTCATGATGATATCTTCAATTCTCTAATTTTGATGAATATTTTTGTAATTTTTGGTAAAAAGTGATATTTTCAACTTCTTGTTGAAAACCACAAGTCCAATTGCTTTGATATTACATATATAGGTACTACATGTGGACCTCCCTCAGATTTGTTCATTTCATAATAATATCTTTAATTCTCTAATTTTGGTGAATATTTTTGTCATTTTTGGTAAAAAGTGATATTTTCGACTTCTTGTTGAAAACTGTAAGTTCAATTGCTTTGATATTACATATATAGGTACTACATGTGGATCTCTCTCAGATTTGTTCATTTCATAATGATATCTTCAATTCTCTAATTTTGGTGAATATTTTTGTCATTTTTGGTAAAAAGTGATATTTTCAACTTCTTGTTGAAAACCACAAGTCCAATTGCTTTGATATTACATATATAGGTACTACATGTGGACCTCCCTCAGATTTGTTCATTTCATAATGATATCTTCAATTCTCTAATTTTGGTGAATATTTTTGTAATTTTTGGTAAAAAGTGATATTTTCAACTTCTTGTTGAAAACCACAAGTTCAATTGCTTTGATATTACATATATAGGTACTACATGTGGACCTCTCTCAGATTTGTTCATTTTCTAATGATATCTTCTGTTCTTTAATTGCCATGTGCATTGCTAACAGCGGAGCTATCTCAGCCGACAGGCTGCTTGTTGAATGTTATCCCAGTCCAAATCTGCTCAAATACTTTAATAAAGAGTTATTGTATAATGTACAAAATGTTGATGAATATTTACAGCTACGGCTTCAATAATGTAGACTATTTTAGCCTGGTCATCAACAAAACATCACCTGTCCCCAGGGCAAGTCACTGGAAAAAGATACCAGTGTTCGGTCGAATTGGTAGAAAGAAAATCGTCACTCTCGGGGGGAAAAACTACACAAAATAACTACTGGAACCATTTGAGCCACAATGAAAACATAAAAAAAAAGACGACTTTCGTTGCATTTGACAAAAATAAACCGTGATTTCCTAGATCGTTTTCGTTGGTAACCTCTGTATAATCCGCCATTTGAGTGCAACCTGACTCTGCCCAGTGATGTCATCAGGTACATAACATCTCTGATTCGTTGACTAAAATCGTCGATTGTGGGTCTCGTCTCTCGGATGTATGTAGGGCGGAATTATAACAAAATTACAAAATTAAAGTAAAATAAAAAGGCATTAATAACAAAAGTAATAAAAAAAATTAAATAAAAATAAGTTTTTAGCCGACATAATTAAGACCTGTACACTACATCAGATTTTAATCAGATTGGGAAGTCCAGTGTTCATTGACTTCTCAAATCAAACATAATCAGCAATGCCATTGTTCCCACCCAGGGTCTCCCCCAACCTCGTGCCAAGGTCTCCCCCAACCTCGTGCCAAGGTCTCCCCCAACCTCGTGCCAAGGTCTCCCCCAACCTCGTGCCAAGGTCTCCCCCAACCTCGTGCCAAGGTCTACCCCCAACCTCGTGCCAAGGTCTCCCCCAACCTCGTGCCGAAGGTCTCCCCAACCTCGTGCCGAAGGTCTCCCCCAACCTCGTGCCAAGGTCTCCCTCCAACCTCGTGCCAAGGTCTCCCCCAACCTCGTGCCAAGGTCTCCCCCAACCTCGTGCCAAGGTCTCCCCCAACCTCGTGCCAGGGTCTCCCCCAACCTCGTGCCAGGGTCTCCCCCAACCTCGT